TTCTCTAACGGCATAAGGTCGTAGTCTACCGCGGCTACAAGGTAGGTAGCCGATCTTCTAAGCTGTTGCCGTGCGTAAGTTTTTGTTGTTAGGCAATGTTGCAGCACTCACTACACATGTGTTCTATCATTCACTTAACTCTTAACTTCGTACTCCATCAGCAGGTACCGTACTTCCGCTAGAAGGAGGAAAACCGCCATGCCATTGGTTAGACTTGGGTCCTGGTGTCACTATTTTAGGAGTACAGATTTAAGTGGATTTAAAGGCAGATTTGCTAGCTTTTGGTGCTATATTTGTTCATTTGTAATTTCTAGCAGAAAATTAATGATTGTATTGGGTACAGTATGTAACCGCTTTATTATTTACGAAATCACTTGCTCTGTAAATAATTGGCGACGTCCATTACGGTATTCGAAAAATTGATTGTGTCGGCCAATAGGCTTCGCGTGGCGCACACGTAACGGGAGGTTTCGATTGGTTCACATCGCATATTTGTATCCACTAATTTGCCTTGACAGCTGGCAAAAAGCATATATACACGTGGCAGTTAGGCGTCCACGTGGCATTTGTGACTCTGAAGTGACATTGACGTCACTTCTCATGTCACTTTCCAGTTGGGTTCCATGCGACATTGATGTCGCTTGTTTGTCACTTTTCCGCAACTTCGAAAGTCACCCCTGCACATGAGCTTTTGACCTGTACTTTTTTTCACCGAACGGAAAGTTGCGGAACTTCAACTTTGAAGTTACTTTCCCGCAACTTTTTGGACTTCAGACTTTCGCGATGTCATTGCTCAACGATTTCGACGCCGAATACATACTTTACAATCTCCAACCTCCCTTGTGCAACTCGATTTCTCGTCCGCGGGTGCAATAGTTCCTACCACTATCCTTCTGAACTTCACGACTTCCAACTTCAGCCCTTTCAAGATTGAAGCTTCTGCTGATGTTTGGCAAGTTGCTCAAGCATCAAGACTTCCATCTTAAAGGTACGCCACAATAGTTCTCTTCAACCGATTTATTGCTACCGAGCGTACCTTTTTTTTAATATTTTGCACGGTGAATTTGTACTGATTTGCGTTGTTTATCCCTTTCGTGCAGAGAAGTGGAATAAAGACATTCAACGCTCTCAAGTGTCATCGGAGCTTTGCTGCGCACTCATTGCGACGGCGGCTGCACATCTACTCGACATCCGTCACTTGCTGCTCAACGGTCCGAACGCTCTCAAGTCGGATCGGACTTCGCCAGCCTACTTTCTGTATCAGCCTTCCATGTCCAGCTAAGTATTCTCTTCACCCTCATCGTCTCAGCTATTTAATCATTTATCCGTACTGCTTGTTGGTCTTCCAGCCAAAATTTTGCCTGTAGAGCTCCCTGTCTCTTCCCCTAATTTGGGTTAGTCTCTTTAGGTCTGTCTAGTCTCAGCGTCGCCAAGTCATGCATGCGTCAGTCTGTCTGAGCTCTACGGTGCGGCTGCTTTGGCTGGAATACCCCCTTCCTCCCACACCAATCTATTTTTTCGTCGCGCTATTTCGTTTATCGCATCTTCACAGTGAACTTAATGTTTTGTTTTATTTTTTTCAGGCAGTTTCTCTGCTACGACGCTCCATCACTTGGGAGAAGCAAGGCCCTCGGATCTCAACATGCCAAGTTCAAGACTTTAAGCCACCAGTCTAAACGAGGACTTCAAGCAAAGGCGTCAACCAACACTGAAGATCTGAACTTAGATTGCAGATAAGTATCAACAAATCCTTGTTTCTCCCTACTCCTTTTCCACTCATCGCTTCCATTATTGTTTTTTTGTAATGCTGGAGCGCTTACCACAACTGCTATAGGAGCCAATCCCCTTAGATGGTTTTTTTTTTAGTCAGGTATTCCCTCTAGTGAGTCCCTTAGGTCTCTATTGGTATTTCTTGGTACTTGGCTCTTATAGCAGTGGTGTTAAGTGCTTTCACATTTTGTTCTTGCATACCCGTACCACCCGTCATGCACATGCTGAATTTTCTTGCTCGTTTGGACCTTCCCTTGCTGCATCTACTCACTCACTCTCCCTCCTCTATCTTTATATGGCAGATGCTCTTTCTCCATAAAGGCCATCTTGAGCAACGCTACGCTCAACACATCAAGGCATCATCCAAGCGACTTTCTGCCAACATTGGAGCAGCGAGGTCAACTTCCGAGCGTTCAATTGCACATCTGGAGCGAGCACTTCAGAGTTACAGCCAACATTCAGTGTGGAGATAAGTACTTTCAAGCCTCTCCTCTGGTGCTGCGTTTTTGCATGTTGTTTTCTGCTATTTCAATCTTTTACACCATGATTTCAGTTTCATCATGGCATGCACATTTTCATGCATGTATGCATGAGAGCGCTAGCCTCCGTCACCACATGAGCCATTCCCCCTTAGCTGGTCAGGTATTTGGTATAGGGTACTCTTCTCTCTGGTGAGATCCTCAGGTCTCTTAAGGTATTTTTCTGGTACCTGGCTCATGTGGATGTGGTGGCAAGCGCTCATACATCTATGCTACTCCATCCTTCCCCATCATGCATTTGGATAAACGCCTCGATCCTCCATGGAGCTCCTAGTGCCACTTGTATTAACATTCTCTTTCCAAACTTTTCCTTTGATTGGAAGGCCTTCTTTTCAACTCTGCGTGGTCAACTGAGAGACCTTGCCTGGCAGCATTGAAGAAACGCTTTCTACCAAGTCCCTTCAAGAATTTCAAGCCTTGGGAAGGTAAAGCTCCTAACTTTCAGTGGTTAATGTTGTTTAACTTTTCTACTTTCACTGACAAGTCCTTGCTTTCTTTCCACAGATATCTCACTACTCAAGCTCTTCAACAGCCACTTCCCTCTCAAGGCACTCATCAAGCATCCCAGCATTCAAGGCCAACGAGGTAATGCTCCTGACTTCTTGTATTGTCTTTTGTTGGTTGTTTTGTTGTAACCTTGACTGATGTCTTCTTGTTCACGTCCGTAGGTACCTTACCCCTCAAGCCCTTCAACAGCCACTTCCTCTCAAGACCTTCAACAGCCAAACATCCCAACGTTGAAGGCCCCGAAGGTAATGTTCCTGACTTGTATTGTTTCTTGTCCATATTTCGTTTCAACCTTTGACTGACCTCTCCTTGTTTTCTATTCGCAGGTGCCTCACCACTCAAGCCCTTCCAACAGCCACTTGCTTCCCTTGACCTTCAACTATCAGCATCACATCCCAGCATCCAAGGCCCCCAAGGTAACGTTCTTGACTTCTTGAATTGTTTACTGTTTGATTTTCGTTTTAAGCTTGACTGATGTCTCCTTGTTTCCTTTTGCAGGTACTTCAACACTCAAGCCCTTCAACGGCCTCTGGCCTCTCAAGACCTTGTACAAATCAAGCATCTCAACATCCAAGGCCACCAGGGTACTTGTTTTGACCTTCAGCTGTTCGTTTACTTTCACACCCAGACTGACATTTGCCTTTTCACCCTGCAGGTATTTTAGCTGTGGAGGTTTTTAACCAACAGCTGTGCAGGTCAACTCACCATCCTAAGAACGAAGGTACATATGTCAACTTCCTGCTTTCTTTCTTTTTACTTCTGCCAAGGTACTGACCTTTCCTCTTGCCTCCTGCAGGTGCCCCAGGAGGGGTTGGCGTGGCATGTGCTAGTGACATGAAGGCATCAAGGCATGAGGAGGCTAATGCATGGTTGAGAGCACCCTCAGGGTTGGCTAATCTCGAATCCGGGCCATACACAATGGTTCTGTCCGGTAGCAGAGTTGACTGCAGCAGCTCTGCTACTTGATGGGGGTCCAAAAGGACAGAACCGGCGTGTGCATATGGGCTCCCGCATGTCTTGATACTAGCAACCCTGAGTGTGGGCCAGTCCTCCCTGTGGTGGGGGAGGATGGCTTTAAGCCGCAACGGCCAGTCCTCCCTGTGGTAGGGGAGGATGGCTTCATGCCTCTGATTGCCACCATGCCTCTAGCAGCCAGTCCTCCCTGTGGTGGGGGAGGAAGGCTCAATGCCTCAAACAACCAGCCCCTTCCAAGGCATGTGACAGTCAAACTATACCCATGTAAGTTGTCCGGTTTTTTGCACTTCCGTTCATTGAAATCACTTACTGATGATTAACATTTTTGGCTGCACTGTGCAGGTTACTTGTGTGATTCAACATGGTATCTACAACAGCAACTTAGTCACATTTATTGCTGGAGTAACACCCCATAGCTGTTGGGTGTTGAAGTTGTATCAAGTAGAACGTTATTGTTCTGTAATCTTGCCTGGAGATCTGGAGCTTAAGTCTCTAATGGTGTTGAGTAGTAGGAAGTAATACAAGAACGGAGATATGTTTTTCTTCAAAGGTGTAAGATCAATTTTTTATCGCTTGCAGAACTAGGCACTCCACTGGCCTGCTCTAAAAGGGAATCAAGTTAATCGTAATTATCACCTGTGCCGACTTCCTGTGCCGACCTTCGTTATTCGTTTCTCAATGATGGTCAATATCTCACGTGTTCTATTGCTAATCTACCTTTTCTGCAAACGGCGCCCTTACCCTACCCTCATTCTGCGCTAACCTCTCTTCGCAAGTCAGATGATGGTATCGCGAGTTACCCCGTTGCCGCATCGCACCACCGGGTCGATCCCGCCAGTTGCGATCCCCTGGCGACTCATGCGACCGGCGTGGGGCACATGCGAGTCGATCGGCCGAATCGCATGCGAGGAACTCGCTATCGTGCGGTCGAATGTTCAGTTCCGCGCCAACCGCGATCGTTGCAGCAACTGGAAGGCCATCGAATAGCCGCGCCGCGTAGAACTCTCGCGCGACAGTTTTTCCCGCACGAATTCATTCCACGCGGTTCCTCCGAACGGGAAGCGCGCGAAATTTCCCTAGTAACTCGCCCCCCACTCACCGTGTAGCCGTTTCCGCCGCGAGCCGTGCAAGCGAAGCCTCGGGCGAATCCGAGCCGTCTGTAAGATCCGCGAGATCGGGGAAGAGGAGACCGGCGGAAACTTGCGCGAAATGCTTGTGCAGGATCTCGTGGGTCCAAACGAGGTGGTTCTCGAGGCGCAGGTGCGCGTGTGCACGCGACCCACGCAGACCCGGTCGCTGGGCGAAGGGGAGATGCGGCGCTTGCTGGAGCAGATCTTGCTCTCAGGTGTGTCTTCAGGTGTTCTGTCAGGTGGATCTCAGGGATATTCTGTTCGGCGTGCACCTTGGGTTCCAGGTGAGACCTCTGGTGATACCAGCTGGTCTAAAGTGCCTGGTGAAGTTTGAGGTAACCATGTCGCTGCTGCAGAACCAGCTGGACATGAGGGGTGGTTGTGAGGGAGAGAGTGGGGAGGGGCAGCAGGGTGTGTGAGATGGACGACTCAAAGCTCTCAGATCTTTCCTTTTTCTGTTGACTTTCCGCGACTCCCCTCTTTCCTTCCAGGAAATCATGTCTCTGCTGCAGAACTTGCTGCCCATGAGGGGCGGATGTGAGGAGGAGAGAACGGGGTGTGTGAGAGATGCTCTGGTGTGTGGCGGCGTATCTGCCGTGCGCATGAACCGCACGACTGACAGAGAGCTCAAAGCCTTTTGCCTGGTGCAGCCACAGCAAGTGACATGGTGAAGTCACAGGGGCAGGCTATCTGGTAGGCACACACACAATGAGCCACGTAGCAGAGGGGGATTAGTGCACAAAGGGGACTGCATTGCTATCGTATCCGCAGGAATGTTGGCGTAAAAGCTATCATAGCATGCTTACCTCTATTGCTAACGCTCTCACTTTTCAAGGATGTGTGTGTGCATGTGCATGCGCGTGTGGATGTTGCATGCACGTCTACCACACAGGCACCTTGGATGTTGGAAGTGTATGGGGAGCACATGTTGGCTCACGTGCTGTCCCTTAGAAGCCCCTTTGTAGCCAAGCTCTAGAATCATCACGAGCAACTTGACAGTGATTTTGAGCACCCAAAGCAACCTTTAGGGTTGTCAATGTAAGATTGTTTTGACCTATCTTATTTCAGTGTGATGGATGAGGCCCAGCCCTGAAGTTCAGTCAAGTAGCATCCCACCCAGCTGTAAGGTTGCTGCACAGAAAGTAGGTATAATTAGGTTTCTTGACCTTTGATAACAACCTCTAGAATTCAACATGTGCTCCCTAGGCCTTCTTCCGTAGAAAGATCATTTGGTAGATGTTTTTTATGCAGTGATTCTTATGGAAAATCTTGACGCTAGCCAATTACCTAAGTTCATGCTTCTGGGAGTGTTACTCAGTGCCCATTATGTCCTGCTCGCGTCATGTCAGAGGCCGACTGCAATCGAGCAAAACAATGACGAGGATTTTTGTTTTCCCGCCAATCTCAATGATCACAGGTACAGTGGGGTCTTTGCTTGGGAAGGGTGATGTTGTGTTTGTGTGTGGCCTTTAGGGAACTCCTATCCCGAAATCGATCATGTCGTTTAGACCTCTATCTTCGTGGCTTAGCTTGTTGGAAGGGTCACGAATTTAGACCGTCCTGCTCGTGCCGTTCCTGACAGTGTCCTGTCAGTGCATTGTTTACATCCCATCATGAATGCGAGGCATAATTCCCTGAGAAACGACGAAGAGATGCCGAGGTTGTTTACCTTGCGTTGATGCGTGATGATCGCTCCGCAACGCTTAGTCTGACGTCTGCATCGCATTCGTATCGTATCGTATCGTATCGCATCATTGAACAGTTAGCGCCAGCAGCAATTGTCGCCAACCCGACACCACGAGTTGTGCCATCAGCGATGCCCATTAGATCAACGGCTCACAGTGATTTCCTGTCGACGTCTTCGTGTTGACAATGTAAGGGGTGTCTGACGAGAATGGTTCAAAGAATCTAGACGGATGCAGCTATTTCCTGCAGGCTTTTTCATAAAGGAGGCTTGGATGATTCATACAACGCTCACGAGGTGCACGGCTCTAACGACTTGTTCTCTCCGTCTACGTCAAATTTTCCAGCACGCAAGGCGGAGCATTAGAAACGCCAGCATACTCTCTGCAGCGCCGGCATTCTCTCTGCCATATTCTGACGGTGCCTGTAAATCCCCAGCGGCTCCCCCCTGGTTCTGCAGCGGCAACATGCTGTCCGCCGAGTTCTGAGGTGCCTGACCACCCCCCCCTCTCCCCTCCCCCCTCGTCACCGCTCCCCCCTGTCACTCCCCCCAGGTTCTGCAGCGGCAATATGCTGTCCGCCATCTGCAGGAGCGCGGGGTGGGCCTGCGGTGCGTCACCTGACTCCCCCACAGCAGCAGCAGCAGCAACAGCAGCGGCAGTTGCGGCGGGGGAGTGTTCCCCGGAGGATCAAGGGACGAAGCTGCGATCGTCAGTCACCTTCTCCCGCTTCCCCGGAGCTTCTCTGGTACCACGCAGCCGCTGACATGCCACCCGTACTCGCGTTTAGATCAGCCCTATATCAGCCCTTGCACGTCCCTTCTCGCTTGATCGTTCGTTCACCTTCCTCTCAGTTATCCATCGCCCCCTCCCCGTTAGTGTCACAACTCACCCTCCCACATGTCACCCGTGCCCTCTCCCATCCCTTATAGTCCACTCCACCACTCCCTCTTCTGTGATCCTCACTTGCATCTCTCCCCGCCCTCCACACCCACTCCTCCCACCTCCATTGCCCTGCTCCTCCCGCCGTCCCCGCCCACTCCGTTCCCACCCCGATGCCCTGCCGTTTTCCCCCCCTCTCTCCGCGCGCCCAGCTGGCGGGCACAGCAGCAGCGCCGCCCGAGGTGGCGTGGGTGCGGGGGCTGGACGCGCATGCGGCGCCCCTCAAGGAGTTCTCCGTCACCTTCTCTGAGGCCCTGCGCAACGTGCGTGCTTCGTGTGGTGCTGTGGCTGCTGTGCATGTGCATGCAGTGCTGTGTAGGAATAGTGCATGTCATGAGCCTTAAGCAGTTCTCCGTCACCTTCTCTGAGGTCCTGCGCAGCGTGCGTGCTGTGCTGCCGTGGTTGGTGGGATACGTATGATGAAGAGCATGAGATGTGATGCATGTGCTTGCATGCAGTGCTGCCGTGCTGTTTAGAGAAAAATGCATCCCAGAAGCCCCTCGAGGAGTTCTCCGTCACCTTCTCTGAGGCCCTGCGCATGCGTGCTGCGTGTGGTTCTATGGGTGTCGTGGTGTTGCGGTGGAGTTGTTGGTGCTTGTTGCTTATCTGGCATGTCATCACACGAATGAATGCAGGATGCAGATCGTCTCAAACGCTCACTATATCGAGCCAATGCCAAAAAGAGTTGACTTTTAATCCCTCTTCCTCTCTGCTGCAACCCCCCCATCATGCTCCGCCCTGCCCTCTTCTCACGTGCAGCTGCCGCTGGGGGTGCGGCTGTGGTCGCACAACCAGAGGGAGAAGTCCCAGGGCCGGGTGAGTGCATGGTATCTGCTACGCACATGAGTCATGACGACACATGATGCTCCTACATACTGCTCTGTGATGTGGAACATAGCCTCTGGCATGGGATGTGCTCTTGTTTCGTCACTGTCATCTCATGCAGTGTCCCAGGCAGACGCACTGACATGCCTCGGCCTCATGCATGGTGAGCCATTCCCATTCCCCGGCTGTGCCTCGTGCTTCCCCCACGCCCATGCCCCTGCAGGTGCCAGTGATTGACCCTTTCTCGCGTGAAACACAGCCATCAGCATGCCACGGGGTGCCTTTAGGAGGCATCGGGTAAGCCCACCTGCCTCTAGGGGCTTCACAATGCATGGCCATTCGTAACCCCAGCTCCCTTCCCCTCTCACCTGCCTGCCCACGCTCGTCCACCTATCTGCCCTCCACCTATCTGCCCTCCACCATCATGCCTGCCCTGCCCTGCTCTGCCCTGCTCTGTGTTCACGGTTCACCTGGCACTGCTTGTCTCCCTCTCCGCCCTCCGCCCTCTTCCCTGCGGCCTGCTGCCCGCCCCTCTGCGTCTTGCTGCATGTGTGCAGGGCATGCAGCATTGGCCGGGGGTTCCGGGGGGAGTTCAACCGATGGCAGTTTGCAGCGGGGCAGTGCGAGGACGCCCCCGTGGAGGCCGATCAGTTCTCCGTGAGTCCTCTCATCTCCTTCCCCCCCTCTAAAGTCACAGCAACTACACTAATTAATGAATACCACTTCACCCGTGAACGTCAACCACTTCGCTGTTAGCCCTCCCTATCGTCCCTCCCTTCACCCGGCCTCTGAATGCTCTGCATATTCGTTATGTTACAACAGCTACATCACATCAGGTCTCGCACTTTGCTTAGCTTGCAGTGGACCAGCCCCTCTCAAGTTCTCGTCCGTGCTCTACCCTGGCGTGCCCAACCCAAGGGCATTTGAGGTCCCTCCTCCATCTGCAACCGTTTGTCCTGTTCGTTCCGTGGCGCTGCCTGTGCAGGTGTTCATCACGAGGCAGGCAGAGAGCCCAGCAGACCAACCCCTCAAGTTCTCCTCTGTGCTTTACCCTGGCGTGCCCAAGGGCGTGCGGAGGAAGGCGAGTGGGTCGGGGATCGATGCGTGGGGTTGGAACATGGATGGCTCGCGCAGCACCTACTATGCTCTCTTTCCCCGCGCCTGGACCGTCTATCAAGGTAGCTATCTGGTGGAGACAGCATGTCATGTTTGTTGTATTTACACTTGGGTGGGTGGGACGCGGAAGTACGTACATAGTGCCTTGCATAGCGTGCCTGCGTGTGTATGGTTCATGGTGCAACTGGGCATGCAAGGTGGTCCCTGTGTTGCGACGCGCTGATGCTGCTGACGGCACTCTCTTTCATTCTCATCCGCGTGTGGAGCTGAGCTTGTGTGGTGTATGATGAATCTGCTGCCTGCGCTTGTATGTGCGCCTGCGGGTGTGCGCTGCCTGCCCGTGTGTGCTTCCCTGTGCGTGCAGAGCCAGACCCTGAGATGACCATCTCGTGTCGCCAGGTCTCGCCCTTCATACCCAACAACTACCAGGAGTCCTCCCTCCCCTCCTCTGTCTTCGCTTTCACTGTAAGCCACACCTCCCGCCCCTTTCTCCTTCCCGTTCCCGCCTCTTCCCGCCTCTTCCCCTTACAACTTAAATTGTTCTTCTCTCTTCATACCCTCGTTCTCATCATCTGGATCGCATTGCTTGCACTCTTTGTTTGTTTTGGGCATGGCCCTGTGCTCACCATGTGCACTAATGCTCCTGCGTTGCCCATTTGACCAGGTAGCTAACACGGGCACGACAGCAGCTGACGTCACACTCGTCTTCTCCCTTGCAGTGAGTCCCCCCTTGCTTGCCCTGCCTCACCTGCTTGCTGTACCATCGTGCTGTACCATCGTGCTGTACCATCGTGCTGCCTCACCTGCTTGCTGTACCATCGTGCTGCCTCACCTGCTTGCTGTACCATCGTGCTGCCTCACCTGCTTGCTGTACCATCGTGCTGCCTCACCTGCTTGCTGTACAATCGTGCTGCCTCACCTGCTTGCTGTACCATCGTGCTGCCTCACCTGCTTGCTGTACCATCGTGCTGCCTCACCTGCTTGCTGTACCATTGTGCTGCCTCACCTGCTTGCTGTACCATCGTGCTGTACCATCGTGCTGTACCATCGTGGTGCATTACCGCCTCGTTTCTCTCAAGTCCATCCGCCTCGTAGGCTCTCCTAGTCTGTGCATATGACACCGCACAAAATGTTTAGCATGCGCATGGACTGGCTAGCATTGTGTGGAAGCTGATTCATCCATGTGCACGCACCACCGCACTACACCGCACTGCACACTCACTCCTTCCCATCCCTTCTCTTCTGCTCCAGCCAACCCATCATCATCTCCTGCTTCAATTGTTTGCCCCCTTGTGACGTTGCAGAACTCCATAGGGGGGGACTCTGCCGCAAACGGCGGCCATCTCAACACTGCCTTTGAGTGAGAACAACACAACACCAAGCAACCGTCAACCATGGATCCACCATCGCACCAACTGCCTGCACATCCTTTCCACGTGTGCCTCGCTTTGCTGCACCACCTGCCTTGGAGCCATAACTCTCATTTCCCCTCTTTCATCCTGCTGACAATGCTTGTGGTGTTTGTGCGTGTCAGGATGGACAGGGGCATCAAAGGCGTGAAACTGCAGCACAGGTCGGATCCATCCACCACCATGCATGCCTCTCATCCCATTGTTCCACACACCCCCTTATGCTCATGCCTCACTCTACAAAAGCCCAACTTCTAACAAATGCTCCCTCTCTTACGCTCTCCTGCCGCATCTCCTCTGCCGCATCTCCTCTGCCGCATCTCCTCTGCCGCATCTCCTCTGCCGCATCTCCTCTGCCGCATCTCCTCTGCCGCATCTCCTCTGCCGCATCTCCTCTGCCGCATCTCCTCTGCCGCATCTCCTCTGCCGCATCTCCTCTGCCGCATCTCCTCTGCCGCATCTCCTCTGCCGCATCTCCTCTGCCGCATCTCCTCTGCCGCATCTCCTCTGCCGCATCTCCTCTGCCGCATCTCCTCTGCCGCATCTCCTCTGCCGCATCTCCTCTGCCGCATCTCCTCTGCCGCATCTCCTCTGCCGCATCTCCTCTGCCGCATCTCCTCTGCCGCATCTCCTCTGCCGCATCTCCTCTGCCGCATCTCCTCTGCCGCATCTCCTCTGCCGCATCTCCTCTGCCGCATCTCCTCTGCCGCATCTCCTCTGCCGCATCTCCTCTGCCGCATCTCCTCTGCCGCATCTCCTCTGCCGCATCTCCTCTGCCGCATCTCCTCTGCCGCATCTCCTCTGCCGCATCTCCTCTGCCGCATCTCCTCTGCCGCATCTCCTCTGCCGAATCTCCTCTGCCGCATCTCCTCTGCCGCATCTCCTCTGCCGCATCTCCTCTGCCGCATCTCCTCTGCCGCATCTCCTCTGCCGCATCTCCTCTGCCGCATCTCCTCTGCCGCATCTCCTCTGCCGCATCTCCTCTGCCGCATCTCCTCTGCCGCATCTCCTCTGCCGCATCTCCTCTGCCGCATCTCCTCATGCCGCATCTCCTCTGCCGCATCTCCTCTGCCGCATCTCCTCTGCCGCATCTCCTCTGCCGCATCTCCTCTGCCGCATCTCCTCTGCCGCATCTCCTCTGCCGCATCTCCTCTGCCTCTCTGCCGCATCTCCTCTGCCGCATCTCCTCTGCCGCATCTCTCTGCCGCATCTCCTCTGCCGCATCTCCTCTGCCGCATCTCCTCTGCCGCATCTCCTCTGCCGCATCTCCTCTGCCGCCGCATCTCCTCTGCCGCATCTCCTCTGCCGCATCTCCTCTGCCGCATCTCCTCTGCCGCATCTCCTCTGCCGCATCTCCTCTGCCGCATCTCCTCTGCCGCATCTCCTCTGCCGCATCTCCTCTGCCGCATCTCCTCTGCCGCATCTCCTCTGCCGCATCTCCTCTGCCGCATCTCCTCTGCCGCATCTCCTCTGCCGCATCTCCTCTGCCGCATCTCCTCTGCCGCATCTCCTCTGCCGCATCTCCTCTGCCGCATCTCCTCTGCCGCATCTCCTCTGCCGCATCTCCTCTGCCGCATCTCCTCTGCCGCATCTCCTCTGCCGCATCTCCTCTGCCGCATCTCCTCTGCCGCATCTCCTCCTGCCGCATCTCCTCTGCCGCATCTCCTCTGCCGCATCTCCTCTGCCGCATCTCCTCTGCCGCATCTCCTCTGCCGCATCTCCTCTGCCGCATCTCCTCTGCCGCATCTCCTCTGCCGCATCTCCTCTGCCGCATCTCCTCTGCCGCATCTCCTCTGCCGCATCTCCTCTGCCGCATCTCCTCTGCCGCATCTCCTCTGCCGCATCTCCTCTGCCGCATCTCCTCTGCCGCATCTCCTCTGCCGCATCTCCTCTGCCGCATCTCCTCTGCCGCATCTCCTCTGCCGCATCTCCTCTGCCGCATCTCCTCTGCCGCATCTCCTCTGCCGCATCTCCTCTGCCGCATCTCCTCTGCCGCATCTCCTCTGCCGCATCTCCTCTGCCGCATCTCCTCTGCCGCATCTCCTCTGCCGCATCTCCTCTGCCGCATCTCCTCTGCCGCATCTCCTCTGCCGCATCTCCTCTGCCGCATCTCCTCTGCCGCATCTCCTCTGCCGCATCTCCTCTGCCGCATCTCCTCTGCCGCATCTCCTCTGCCGCATCTCCTCTGCCGCATCTCCTCTGCCGCATCTCCTCTGCCGCATCTCCTCTGCCGCATCTCCTCTGCCGCATCTCCTCTGCCGCATCTCCTCTGCCGCATCTCCTCTGCCGCATCTCCTCTGCCGCATCTCCTCTGCCGCATCTCCTCTGCCGCATCTCCTCTGCCGCATCTCCTCTGCCGCATCTCCTCTGCCGCATCTCCTCTGCCGCATCTCCTCTGCCGCATCTCCTCTGCCGCATCTCCTCTGCCGCATCTCCTCTGCCGCATCTCCTCTGCCGCATCTCCTCTGCCGCATCTCCTCTGCCGCATCTCCTCTGCCGCATCTCCTCTGCCGCATCTCCTCTGCCGCATCTCCTCTGCCGCATCTCCTCTGCCGCATCTCCTCTGCCGCATCTCCTCTGCCGCATCTCCTCTGCCGCATCTCCTCTGCCGCATCTCCTCTGCCGCATCTCCTCTGCCGCATCTCCTCTGCCGCATCTCCTCTGCCGCATCTCCTCTGCCGCATCTCCTCTGCCGCATCTCCTCTGCCGCATCTCCTCTGCCGCATCTCCTCTGCCGCATCTCCTCTGCCGCATCTCCTCTGCCGCATCTCCTCTGCCGCATCTCCTCTGCCGCATCTCCTCTGCCGCATCTCCTCTGCCGCATCTCCTCTGCCGCATCTCCTCTGCCGCATCTCCTCTGCCGCATCTCCTCTGCCGCATCTCCTCTGCCGCATCTCCTCTGCCGCATCTCCTCTGCCGCATCTCCTCTGCCGCATCTCCTCTGCCGCATCTCCTCTGCCGCATCTCCTCTGCCGCATCTCCTCTGCCGCATCTCCTCTGCCGCATCTCCTCTGCCGCATCTCCTCTGCCGCATCTCCTCTGCCGCATCTCCTCTGCCGCATCTCCTCTGCCGCATCTCCTCTGCCGCATCTCCTCTGCCGCATCTCCTCTGCCGCATCTCCTCTGCCGCATCTCCTCTGCCGCATCTCCTCTGCCGCATCTCCTCTGCCGCATCTCCTCTGCCGCATCTCCTCTGCCGCATCTCCTCTGCCGCATCTCCTCTGCCGCATCTCCTCTGCCGCATCTCCTCTGCCGCATCTCCTCTGCCGCATCTCCTCTGCCGCATCTCCTCTGCCGCATCTCCTCTGCCGCATCTCCTCTGCCGCATCTCCTCTGCCGCATCTCCTCTGCCGCATCTCCTCTGCCGCATCTCCTCTGCCGCATCTCCTCTGCCGCATCTCCTCTGCCGCATCTCCTCTGCCGCATCTCCTCTGCCGCATCTCCTCTGCCGCATCTCCTCTGCCGCATCTCCTCTGCCGCATCTCCTCTGCCGCATCTCCTCTGCCGCATCTCCTCTGCCGCATCTCCTCTGCCGCATCTCCTCTGCCGCATCTCCTCTGCCGCATCTCCTCTGCCGCATCTCCTCTGCCGCATCTCCTCTGCCCGCATCTCCTCTGCCGCATCTCCTCTGCCGCATCTCCTCTGCCGCATCTCCTCTGCCGCATCTCCTCTGCCGCATCTCCTCTGCCGCATCTCCTCTGCCGCATCTCCTCTGCCGCATCTCCTCTGCCGCATCTCCTCTGCCGCATCTCCTCTGTCCCGCATCTCCTCTGCCGCATCTCCTCTGCCGCATCTCCTCTGCCGCATCTCCTCTGCCGCATCTCCTCTGCCGCATCTCCTCTGCCGCATCTCCTCTGCCGCATCTCCTCTGCCGCATCTCCTCTGCCGCATCTCCTCTGCCGCATCTCCTCTGCCGCATCTCCTCTGCCGCATCTCCTCTGCCGCATCTCCTCTGCCGCATCTCCTCTGCCGCATCTCCTCTGCCGCATCTCCTCTGCCGCATCTCCTCTGCCGCATCTCCTCTGCCGCATCTCCTCTGCCGCATCTCCTCTGCCGCATCTCCTCTGCCGCATCTCCTCTGCCGCATCTCCTCTGCCGCATCTCCTCTGCCGCATCTCCTCTGCCGCATCTCCTCTGCCGCATCTCCTCTGCCGCATCTCCTCTGCCGCATCTCCTCTGCCGCATCTCCTCTGCCGCATCTCCTCTGCCGCATCTCCTCTGCCGCATCTCCTCTGCCGCATCTCCTCTGCCGCATCTCCTCTGCCGCATCTCCTCTGCCGCATCTCCTCTGCCGCATCTCCTCTGCCGCATCTCCTCTGCCGCATCTCCTCTGCCGCATCTCCTCTGCCGCATCTCCTCTGCCGCATCTCCTCTGCCGCATCTCCTCTGCCGCATCTCCTCTGCCGCATCTCCTCTGCCGCATCTCCTCTGCCGCATCTCCTCTGCCGCATCTCCTCTGCCGCATCTCCTCTGCCGCATCTCCTCTGCCGCATCTCCTCTGCCGCATCTCCTCTGCCGCATCTCCTCTGCCGCATCTCCTCTGCCGCATCTCCTCTGCCGCATCTCCTCTGCCGCATCTCCTCTGCCGCATCTCCTCTGCCGCATCTCCTCTGCCGCATCTCCTCTGCCGCATCTCCTCTGCCGCATCTCCTCTGCCGCATCTCCTCTGCCGCATCTCCTCTGCCGCATCTCCTCTGCCGCATCTCCTCTGCCGCATCTCCTCTGCCGCATCTCCTCTGCCGCATCTCCTCTGCCGCATCTCCTCTGCCGCATCTCCTCTGCCGCATCTCCTCTGCCGCATCTCCTCTGCCGCATCTCCTCTGCCGCATCTCCTCTGCCGCATCTCCTCTGCCGCATCTCCTCTGCCGCATCTCCTCTGCCGCATCTCCTCTGCCGCATCTCCTCTGCCGCATCTCCTCTGCCGCATCTCCTCTGCCGCATCTCCTCTGCCGCATCTCCTCTGCCGCATCTCCTCTGCCGCATCTCCTCTGCCGCATCTCCTCTGCCGCATCTCCTCTGCCGCATCTCCTCTGCCGCATCTCCTCTGCCGCATCTCCTCTGCCGCATCTCCTCTGCCGCATCTCCTCTGCCGCATCTCCTCTGCCGCATCTCCTCTGCCGCATCTCCTCTGCCGCATCTCCTCTGCCGCATCTCCTCTGCCGCATCTCCTCTGCCGCATCTCCTCTGCCGCATCTCCTCTGCCGCATCTCCTCTGCCGCATCTCCTCTGCCGCATCTCCTCTGCCGCATCTCCTCTGCCGCATCTCCTCTGCCGCATCTCCTCTGCCGCATCTCCTCTGCCGCATCTCCTCTGCCGCATCTCCTCTGCCGCATCTCCTCTGCCGCATCTCCTCTGCCGCATCTCCTCTGCCGCATCTCCTCTGCCGCATCTCCTCTGCCGCATCTCCTCTGCCGCATCTCCTCTGCCGCATCTCCTCTGCCGCATCTCCTCTGCCGCATCTCCTCTGCCGCATCTCCTCTGCCGCATCTCCTCTGCCGCATCTCCTCTGCCGCATCTCCTCTGCCGCATCTCCTCTGCCGCATCTCCTCTGCCGCATCTCCTCTGCCGCATCTCCTCTGCCGCATCTCCTCTGCCGCATCTCCTCTGCCGCATCTCCTCTGCCGCATCTCCTCTGCCGCATCTCCTCTGCCGCATCTCCTCTGCCGCATCTCCTCTGCCGCATCTCCTCTGCCGCATCTCCTCTGCCGCATCTCCTCTGCCGCATCTCCTCTGCCGCATCTCCTCTGCCGCATCTCCTCTGCCGCATCTCCTCTGCCGCATCTCCTCTGCCGCATCTCCTCTGCCGCATCTCCTCTGCCGCATCTCCTCTGCCGCATCTCCTCTGCCGCATCTCCTCTGCCGCATCTCCTCTGCCGCATCTCCTCTGCCGCATCTCCTCTGCCGCATCTCCTCTGCCGCATCTCCTCTGCCGCATCTCCTCTGCCGCATCTCCTCTGCCGCATCTCCTCTGCCGCATCTCCTCTGCCGCATCTCCTCTGCCGCATCTCCTCTGCCGCATCTCCTCTGCCGCATCTCCTCTGCCGCATCTCCTCTGCCGCATCTCCTCTGCCGCATCTCCTCTGCCGCATCTCCTCTGCCGCATCTCCTCTGCCGCATCTCCTCTGCCGCATCTCCTCTGCCGCATCTCCTCTGCCGCATCTCCTCTGCCGCATCTCCTCTGCCGCATCTCCTCTGCCGCATCTCCTCTGCCGCATCTCCTCTGCCGCATCTCCTCTGCCGCATCTCCTCTGCCGCATCTCCTCTGCCGCATCTCCTCTGCCGCATCTCCTCTGCCGCATCTCCTCTGCCGCATCTCCTCTGCCGCATCTCCTCTGCCGCATCTCCTCTGCCCGCATCTCCTCTGCCGCATCTCCTCTGCCGCATCTCCTCTGCCGCATCTCCTCTGCCGCATCTCCTCTGCCGCATCTCCTCTGCCGCATCTCCTCTGCCGCATCTCCTCTGCCGCATCTCCTCTGCCGCATCTCCTCTGCCGCATCTCCTCTGCCGCATCTCCTCTGCCGCATCTCCTCTGCCGCATCTCCTCTGCCGCATCTCCTCTGCCGCATCTCCTCTGCCGCATCTCCTCTGCCGCATCTCCTCTGCCGCATCTCCTCTGCCGCATCTCCTCTGCCGCATCTCCTCTGCCGCATCTCCTCTGCCGCATCTCCTCTGCCGCATCTCCTCTGCCGCATCTCCTCTGCCGCATCTCCTCTGCCGCATCTCCTCTGCCGCATCTCCTCTGCCGCATCTCCTCTGCCGCATCTCCTCTGCCGCATCTCCTCTGCCGCATCTCCTCTGCCGCATCTCCTCTGCCGCATCTCCTCTGCCGCATCTCCTCTGCCGCATCTCCTCTGCCGCATCTCCTCTGCCGCATCTCCTCTGCCGCATCTCCTCTGCCGCATCTCCTCTGCCGCATCTCCTCTGCCGCATCTCCTCTGCCGCATCTCCTCTGCCGCATCTCCTCTGCCGCATCTCCTCTGCCGCATCTCCTCTGCCGCATCTCCTCTGCCGCATCTCCTCTGCCGCATCTCCTCTGCCGCATCTCCTCTGCCGCATCTCCTCTGCCGCATCTCCTCTGCCGCATCTCCTCTGCCGCATCTCCTCTGCCGCATCTCCTCTGCCGCATCTCCTCTGCCGCATCTCCTCTGCCGCATCTCCTCTGCCGCATCTCCTCTGCCGCATCTCCTCTGCCGCATCTCCTCTGCCGCATCTCCTCTGCCGCATCTCCTCTGCCGCATCTCCTCTGCCGCATCTCCTCTGCCGCATCTCCTCTGCCGCATCTCCTCTGCCGCATCTCCTCTGCCGCATCTCCTCTGCCGCATCTCCTCTGCCGCATCTCCTCTGCCGCATCTCCTCTGCCGCATCTCCTCTGCCGCATCTCCTCTGCCGCATCTCCTCTGCCGCATCTCCTCTGCCGCATCTCCTCTGCCGCATCTCCTCTGCCGCATCTCCTCTGCCGCATCTCCTCTGCCGCATCTCCTCTGCCGCATCTCCTCTGCCGCATCTCCTCTGCCGCATCTCCTCTGCCGCATCTCCTCTGCCGCATCTCCTCTGCCGCATCTCCTCTGCCGCATCTCCTCTGCCGCATCTCCTCTGCCGCATCTCCTCTGCCGCATCTCCTCTGCCGCATCTCCTCTGCCGCATCTCCTCTGCCGCATCTCCTCTGCCGCATCTCCTCTGCCGCATCTCCTCTGCCGCATCTCCTCTGCCGCATCTCCTCTGCCGCATCTCCTCTGCCGCATCTCCTCTGCCGCATCTCCTCTGCCGCATCTCCTCTGCCGCATCTCCTCTGCCGCATCTCCTCTGCCGCATCTCCTCTGCCGCATCTCCTCTGCCGCATCTCCTCTGCCGCATCTCCTCTGCCGCATCTCCTCTGCCGCATCTCCTCTGCCGCATCTCCTCTGCCGCATCTCCTCTGCCGCATCTCCTCTGCCGCATCTCCTCTGCCGCATCTCCTCTGCCGCATCTCCTCTGCCGCATCTCCTCTGCCGCATCTCCTCTGCCGCATCTCCTCTGCCGCATCTCCTCTGCCGCATCTCCTCTGCCGCATCTCCTCTGCCGCATCTCCTCTGCCGCATCTCCTCTGCCGCATCTCCTCTGCATGCAGGTCCTCCAAAGTGGGCGGCCCAGTGACTCTAGCCATTGCAGCACGAGGGGGGAGTGGCGCCACCAACACTACTCCTCCCTCTGCCACCTCTGCAACTAAGTCCTCTCCCATCGCTGCTGACTCAGCCAACGGGATCGCTGACTCAGCTTGCAGAGCTGCTGACTCAACGAATGGGATTGCTGACAGCGGGACTGACGAAGTTCGGGTGTCTGTTTGCCCGCACTTCGTCCTCTCAGGCCCCTGCAAGGGCCTATCAGCTGCTGACATGTGGCAGCACCTTGAGAAGGTGTGTTTCTCTGGTACAATTCACCTCATACTTGTTTCCTCAGGCCGATGCATCGACCTCATTGTCCCACCCATGTTCACCTCACCTTTTCCATTTCTACGTCTCTCCTCCATCGCACCCACCACAGGCCATCCAATCCATTCCATCCCTTTAACTGTCAGCCCTGACACTGCCATCAGCAGCCGTCACTGCCTCACTCTCTCCATACCTCTCCCTCCCAACACCTCCAACCACCCCCACCGTTCCCCTGTTTTGACCACAGACCGGCACCTTCCCCCCCCACCACGAGTCAGCCCTGGCATCGCACCCCTCATTCCCCGGCACGGCCATCGGGGCAGCAGTGGCAGCGTCAGTGTCGGTGCCGCCTGGAGCCACTCGCCACGTGGACTTCACGCTCTGCTGGGACGTGCCAGTTGTGCGCTTCAACCCAGATAGCCACTACCTCAGGTGCGTGTTGCGCCACCCCTGACGGGCTTTTCTTGGGAAGGGTGGCACGTAGGGCGGTGAGCCTCGGTGGGTGAGACCTACCGGGGTGAGACCTAGCGGGGTGAGACCTAGGGAGGCGAGAGGCAACCACCATCCCAGGTCTGGTGTGGTCCTTTGCTCTGGTAGACTCCTTAACTGACCCTCATTCCCTCGGATTCTTGTTTTGCATCCATCGTACGCTGTCCCCCATGCGCGCATGGCATGGCAGGCGCTACACGCGGTTCTACGGGCACCATGGGATGGCAGCTCACCTGCTGGCCCGCGACGCTCTTTTGGGTGAGTCACGGTGAAGTAAAGTGGAGGCATGATGGGGGGAAGAGAGTGATGCGTGATCCCAGCTGCTCTTTTGGTTTGGCCTGTAATGCGAATCCCTTGAACGTCTTTCAAGCGTCTCTGGAGCATGAGCAATCGATGGAATGGTGCAGAGCTCATTGAGGTCAATGCTCCCTGCCTATTGCTTGCGCCATGGCAGGGTACAGCAACTGGGAGACGGCCATAGATGCATGGCAGCAGCCCAGTCTGCAAGACGACTCACTGCCTGAATGGTATGTTATGTGCGTGGCTGCTCCCCTTCCGGTGCATGCACCACATGATATGCGTAAACTCCTCGCCACTCTGTTTCCTCGTCTCTGCACTTTACTGCATTCCTGCTGTAATCTCGCCTCTTGATTTCCACCTCTGTGACTCTGCTCCACTGCCCTCCCAACCTGCCGTCCTGCTCTACCCCTGCACTGCCTGCGCAACCCTCTCTCAGGTACTGAGTGACGCTCTTCAACGAGCTCTGCTTCCTCACTCCCTGAGAGGAATGCAGCACCAGAAGCCCTGCCTCACCTCCTCTCCGACCCCTCTCCTCCTGCCCGCCCCCCACCCCCCACACACACACACACTCTCTCCTCCCTCGCAGGTACCGAGTGACGCTCTTCAACGAGCTCTACTTCCTCACTGCAGGCGGCACCGTGTGGACGGGTAAGGATGAGTTACGGCAAGCTGTGGACGGAAGGGTGAGCTGTGGATGGGTAGGAGCACATGCTTGGAATGTAGGAGTCCTGAATGGCTTTTGTACGCCAGATTATCCGTGTGCTGTGCATATCTCCCACCTCTCCTACTCCCCTGTGCATCCCCAAGTGTCAATCGCCAGCGATTCATCCTTGTTGTTTCCCCATGCACCACCCCACAACCCCCCTCCTTTCCCCCCCTCCCCCTGCCTCCTGTCCCCTACAGACGGAGGGCCACGGCTGGAGGAGAGGGAGCAGCACGAGTGGCTCAAGCCACAAGACCCCTCCCACTCCCTCGCTCGCTCCGTCCTTCTCTCGCCCTTGCCCTGTACGCTCCCACCCGCTTGCCTCGGCCCCCCTCCCCTGCTGCCCCATTCGTCCATCTTTCTGCGTTCCTCCCTGCCCTTTCGCGGCTCACCACTGAAACACCTAGGCCCTGCTCCAAGGTCTCACAGTGCTGTTGTTGCTGTCCTTCTTTCAACACCGCCCATCTCCTCTTGCTCCTGCTTACCCCATCCCCCCTGATCCTGCTCCTGCGCCTACATTCACTCCCCCTGTCTTCCTGTATTCACCCATTTCCCCCCTGTCCCCTCGATTTCTCTCTCCTCTGTCCTCGGTCCCCCCCCCTCAACCTCCTCACAGCCGTCAAGGTTGAACAAGGCAAGGCAGTCGAGCCGTCTCAACCTTCCCTCACTCCATCCTCCACACCACCACCAGCAAAACCAGCAGCAGCACCAGCACCAGCACCAGCACCACCAACACCAACAGCAATCACAAGGGAAGGCACAATCCAGCAGCCACCCCACCTCGCCCCCCCATCCCCCTTCTCCCCAACACCCCTCCCGGGCCCATGGAACAAGCCTCCCCCCATCCCAGGCAGGGCGCCCCTCCCCCCCAGCCTGCCCAAGAACCTCCTCCCCCTCGACTCGCCCGCACTGCCCGCGTCCGCCCTGCCAAGAGCCTCCTCTGCACCCATCATGCCTGGTCGCCTGCTCTCAAGCACGTCCACCTTGTTCAGCAACATGGCCATTGGTCTGTTCCCCGCCTCCCCCATGCCTCTCCCCACAAGAAAGCCTGCTGCTGGTGTTGCTTCGGGTGGTGGCCTGTCTGCGTCGTCGTCCCTCACTCCGCCTGTTTTCGGCCCTTCTCTTTCCAGTATCCTATCCCAAAGTCCTCAGGTGAATTCCCAGGTAGGTCAGCGAGATCTGCGATCCGGGTTGTCACTGAATGAGGCTGATTTTGCTGCCCGAAGTCCTCAGGTGGATTTTCAGGTAGGTAAGCGGGACCTGCGGTCTGGATCCTCATTGAATGACGCTGGGTTGGCTGTGGGGTCTATTGGGAGGATATCGGAGCGACAGGAGGAAGAGGAGGACGCTGAAAGGGAGGGAGGAGAGGGGAGGACGAGCTATGGTGTTGGCGCTATGGTGCTAGAATCAGCACGCAATGATGTGGGTGGAGCAACAGCAGGAGGAGGAGAGATAGGTTCAATCGATGCACAAGGTGCAGAAGCTGTTTTCGAGGCGCTTCAAGAAGCAACATCCACTAGAAGCAGCAGCAACACCGACACACCACAGTCCGCCAGGCAAAGCAGCGACACCACTTCAGCCTCCCTCGCCTCCCCTCCCTCTCCCTCCTCCCTCTCATCCACCCCACCACAACCCCGCACCTCCCTCACACCACCACCCCGGCCGTCCCTCTCCCTCACATCAACCCAGCAACAGTCCTCCCACTCGCCCCCGCCGCTCACCCCACACGAGAAGGCGCTGGACCTACCTGCGCCCATGGCGGGGCGGCTGGCAGGGGGGCCTCTGGGGCCGCACGAGCACTACAGCTGGCGCCTCTGCTCTGGCGTGCAGCTGCTGGGTCAGGGCAGAGGGGAGGGTGGTGCGGGGGTGAGGGGAGATGGGGAGGGGAACGAGGAGGGATATGGGGAGGGGGAGGGGGAAGGGGAGGAGGAGGAGAATGTGGGGCAGTTTCTGTATCTGGAGGGGCTGGAATACATCATGTGGAACACGTGAGTGCGCGTGCCACTTTGGGTGCATGATAGTTACACCACCTGTTCGATACAGCCCGGTGATTATGCTCAGCAATCCTCTCTGTCATGCTCCTGCCCTGCAACCTCCCTTATAGGGATGAGCAAGGGGCGAACACGAACATGTTCGTGTTCGCCCCTACACGAACACATCCGTTTGCCGAACCGAACAGTGTTCGGTTCGGCGAACACTTTTAGCAAAAACGGGTGTTCGCCGTTCGCCTGTGAAGGCGTGTTCGGGCGAACCTCGAACACGTTCGTGTTCGTCGCGGGGCAAATTGCAGCAGCGCCCCGAACACGAACGTGTTCTGGCGAACCTCGAACACTGTTTGGCGAACACTTTAAGCAAAAAACACAAACCTGTTCGGTTCGCCTCGAACGGTGTTCGTTTTTTTGCCCAACCCTACTCCCTTAACCCTCCCCCTTCCCCCTCCCCTTTCCCCTCCTCTGACCCCTCCGTCTTCCCCTTCCGCCCCACGCACCCACACCACCACCAGGTACGACGTGCATTTCTATGCGTCCTTCGCGCTGCTCGCCCTCTTCCCTCTGCTCGAGCTCAGCTTGCAACGGGACTTCGCTGTCAGCACGCTGCTGCAGGTGCCTCTACCTGCCAACTCTCCTTTCCAGACATACTGACTCCTCTGTTTGGCTTCCGTATCTGTTCGAAGGGTCTGCACCAGTTGTCTGTCACTCAAACACCACCATCTTCCCTCAACGTCACCACATGTCCCCATTCTAAGTCGACTAAATAATCTCCCCTCAATGTCACCACATGCCCCTTCTCCATTCCTCCTTTGATTCGGCCACTCTACCTCCCCTCTCCCATCTTCCCCCCCCCAGCAACGGCGCGTGACGAGGTTCCTAGCGGACGGGGCATCGGGGGTGAACAAGACGCGCGGCAGTGTGCCGCACGACCTGGGGTGCCACGACCCGTGGGTCTTCCCCAATGCATACAACATCCATGACACCGCACACTGGAAGGATTTGAACTGCAAGTTTGTTTTGCAGGTGTGTACTCGCCTCGCCTTCCCACTGTGCTCTCCCTCCTGTGTTCCGACCTGGGCTGCCACGACCCATGGGTCTTCCCCAACGCATACAACATCCATGACACCGCCCAGTGGAAGGATTTGAACTGCAAGTTTGTTTTGCAGGTGTGTACTCACCTCGCCTTCCCACTGTGCTCTCCCTCCTGTGTTCCGACCTGGGCTGCCACGACCCCTGGGTCTTCCCCAATGCATACAACATCCATGACACCGCCCAGTGGAAGGATTTGAACTGCAAGTTTGTTTTGCAGGTGTGTACTCGCCTCGCCTTCCCACTGTGCTCTCCCTCCTGTGTTCCGACCTGGGCTGCCACGACCCCTGGGTCTTCCCCAATGCATACAACATCCATGACACCGCCCAGTGGAAGGATTTGAACTGCAAGTTTGTTTTGCAGGTGTGTACTCGCCTCGCCTTCCTACTGTGCTCTCCCTCCTGTGTTCCGACCTGGGCTGCCACGACCCCTGGGTCTTCCCCAATGCATACAACATCCATGACACCGCCCAGTGGAAGGATTTGAACTGCAAGTTTGTTTTGCAGGTGTGTACTCGCCTCGCCTTCCCACTGTGCTCTCCCTCCTGTGTTCCGACCTGGGCTGTCACGACCCATGGGTCTTCCCCAACGCATACAACATCCATGACACCGCCCAGTGGAAGGATTTGCAAGTTTGTTTTGCAGGTGTGTACTCGCCTCGCCTTCCCACTGTGCTCTCCCTCCTGTGTTCCGACCTGGGCTGCCACGACCCCTGGGTCTTCCCCAACGCATACAGCATCCATGACACCGCCCAGTGGAAGGATCTGAACTGCAAGTTTGTTTTGCAGGTGTGTAATCGCCTCGCCTTCCCACTGTGCTCTCCCTCCTGTGTTCCGACCTGGGCTGCCACGACCCCTGGGTCTTCCCCAATGCATACAACATCCATGACATCGCACAGTGGAAAGATCTCAACTGCAGGTGTGTTGTACTGTCCTTAGACTCCGTGTTATACACCTACGGAAACCACGACACTGTACAGTGGAAGGGTCTTTACGGCAAGTTCGTGCTGCACGCTGGTGGGGAACAAATTTCTAGGCACTTCAGTGAATGTGTCTCTGTGTTCCCCTCCTTTCCAACCAGGTGTGTCGGGACTACAGGGCGACAGGCAACGTGCGGTTCTGCAGGGCGGTGTGGGAGGCGGTGGTGGCGGCAATGGATGCGGTGGAGAGGTTTGACCGCGATGACGACGGGCTCATAGAGAACGACGGGTTCCCCGACCAAACCTACGATAACTGGTGCGTGGCGTGTGGTATCGCATGGTGCTAGCAGTGCTGCAGGCAGAGGCAGTGCGAGAGAGTGAGTGGTGCACGGGGGTGAGTGGTGCACGGGGGTGAGTGGTGCACGGGGGGTGAGTGCTGCACGGGGGGTGAGTGCTGCACGGGGGTGAGTGGTGCACGGGGGGTGAGTGCTGCACGGGGGGTGAGTGCTGCACGGGGGGTGAGTGCTGCACGGGGGGTGAGTGGTGCACGGGGGGTGAGTGCTGCACGGGGGGTGAGTGCTGCACGGGGGGTGTGTGCTGCACGGGGGGTGGGTGCTGCACGGGGGGTGGGTGCTGCACGGGGGGTGGGTGCTGCACGGGGGTGGATGCCGTGGCGCCACCCTGCTACATCCGTGTGCTTCTACAGCTGGATGGGCGAATAACGTGAAGCACCTCGTACAGGCCAACAACAGCTTGTTTCAGCAACCTGTAGCCCCGTTGTTTGAGTCGACTGAGCAATGTAGCCTCGCCGTCACGCAAGTGCCACGTGTCAACGTCTCAACAGTCTCTGTGTGGGCCCTTTTGATCAGCACGGCGCTGTGGCAGCCTTTCAGGCGCCTCAAAAGTCGGCTCTGTTGCAGCCTGCATAGCAGTGGAAAATCAAATTCCACGTTATTTCCTCTCTTTTTTTATCTCTTTTTCGTTTCCAATCTTCTCGCCAGGCCGGTGCACGGAGTGAGTGCGTACTGTGGCGGCCTGTGGCTGGCAGCGCTGCAGGCAGGAGCAGCCATGGCTGATGCAGTGGGCGAGGCCAAGTACGCCCAGTACTGGCGACGGCAGTGTGAGCGGGTGAGTGTTTAGCAGGGAACAGAACAGAGGCGGAAAGGGGGACGGAGGGAGGGATGCAAGCGAGGGATCAGGGGACGAGATGGGCTGAGGCAGAGACGGACGTGTGGTTTCTGGCTGGGAGGAGGTTATGTGGGGGGGGGTGGGCATGACCTCTTACCAGCTGCCTCCGTGCGTTCACATCACACAACACCTTGTGCTTTTCCATGCCAGCCGCTTGCTGCTGCACCTGTGCCGCACAGTGCGAGGAAAGAGGGACGGGGGCACCAACCCCGCTTGTTGGACAGTGCTATCCACGCCACGCCAACCCCCCCCCCCCCCCCCCCCCGTCGCTCTTTCCTCTCCCCCTCTCTGCCTTTTCTCCTTCTGTCTCTGCTTCTCCCCCTTGTTTCCTCACAACCCCACAATGCGCCCCCTGCGCCCATGTGTGTCCTGCCTGGCAGGGCAGGGAGGCGTTTGTTGCCAAGCTCTGGAATGGCAGGTGCGTACACACACATGTCCGTATTCACATGTAGGGAGACATCCCCTACATCCCCTACTCGCACCCACATCCCCTACCGCTCTCAACCCCTCTCGGCCTCGCCCCTTCTCGCTGTCACCCCTTTCCCCCCCTCGCTCCATCTCCCCCTGGCTGCATCCTCTCCCCCTCGCCCTCCTCCCCTTTCCACCTCACCCCCTCGTTCACACCTCTCTCTCCCGCGTCTGACCCATGCGCGCCTCTCCACCCAATGCACCCCTGCGTTGCCCCTGGCCTCCACCTCGCAGGTACTTCAACTACGACAGCGGCAGCAGCAGCAACAGCAACTCCATTCACGCGGATCAACTCGCAGGCCAGTGGTGCGTGCAGGGGTGAGCGGGGGGATACTGGTGGGTGCATAGGGATGGGTAGCGGTAGGTGCAGGGGGGAGGGGAGATGGTGGGTTGAGCAGTGGGCAGGGCACTCGTGGGCTTGAGTGGCCGAGCCTCACTTCCTTCCTCTCTCCGCCCCTGTGTCTCTCCCCAACCCCACATCCCTCCCCATGTGCGGAGCCAGTTACCTGAGGAGCTGTGGCCCTGCCCCCCCTCTTTGACTCATTTGCAGCCCCTGTTCAAAGAGAGGAAGGAAGGATTATGTTCCTCCTCATAATCCCTCCCGTACACCCTCACTCCCCCTCTTGCAGGTACCTGTGGAGCTGTGGCCTGCCGCCGCTCTTTGACTCAGCCATGGCATGCAAGGCTCTCCAGATGATCTTTGAGTGAGTGTGGCATGCGGATAGTGTTGGAGTGAGGGGGTGGGGACTTATGCAATGTCTTTTTTTTTTCCATGAGCAGTGCATGTGACACTGGTTTGAGGGTTGTTGGCATCGGTGAAACGTTTTGTGTGGGCGGTTTTACGCTTTCGCGGATCGTTAATGATTCTCGAGGAAGGGTGCAAATTGTAATGTACACGATACTCTGGGTGTGGAGTGGATGTATAATTATATTGTGAAACAGGCAGTAATTGCTGTGGTGACTGATCACTTTTCGCGCTGTCTGACTGGAGATGATCGCTCTTTCTGGCCACGCTCCGAACTATGACCCATGACCCATGCCCCATACGCCCTATGCCCTATGCCCCATGCCCCATGCCCTATGCCCTATACCCCATGCCCCATGCCCCATGCCCCATGTGTGATGGCCATGGCACCATCAGGTACAATGTGATGCGGCTGGAGGGGGGCAGCATGGGGGCCGTCAATGGCATGCGACCCAACGGCCAGGTGGGGGTCTGGGCAGGTGGGATGTGGGCAGGTGGGATCTGGGCAGGTGGGATCTGGGCAGGTGGGATCTGGGCAGGTGGGATCTGGGCAGGTGGGATCTGGGCGGGTGGGATCTGGGCAGGTGGGATCTGAACGGGTGGCATCTTCATGCCCCATTCTCTCGTCTTCGCTCTTCTCCTCACTCTGTTCCTCACCCTCCTCACTCCGCTCCTCACTCCCTCCTCACTCTCCTCCTCACTCGGGTACTCTGCCAGGTGGATGACACGTGCTTGCAATCGCGGGAGGTGTGGACAGGTGTCACGTACGGATTGGCTGCCACAATGATCTACGAGGTGAGACTGCACCATACCATCACAAAAAGCGTCGACTCCTTTCACAGCCCCCCCAAAAAGCGTCGACTCCTTTCACAGCCCCCCCAAAAAGCGTCGACTCCTTTCACAGCCCCCCCAAAAAGCGTCGACTCCTTTCACATGCACCATGCAGCATGCAACATGCACCATGCACCATGGTCATGCTTCACTCATGCACCATTCGCAACTTGGCTTGTTTTGATGCACAACATGCCTTCAACTTGCTCATGCCATGGAATGGAATGGTATGGCACGGAATGGTCTGCCATGGCATGACATGTCTTCAAGCCGCCTTTCACCAAATCATATCCACTTTATGGCATGAGAGCGACGCTTACATGCATGTGCTAGGTCTGTGTCCTCACCCCACACCCCCCTCCCACCACTCCTGTTCCTGGGACCTGCAGGGCATGCACTCACAGGCCTTTCGCACGGCACAGGGCATTCACCAGGCGGGCTGGGATGAGCTAGGGTGAGTTGCATTGCATGGTATGGTTGGTAGTATGAGCTATGCTGCGCTGTGCAATTGGTGGGATGTGTTGTGACAAGCCATGTCCACACATGATGAGGTTCGAGGTTTTTTTGGCATGGTAGGTGCATTCCTCACCTTTTCCTCCTCCCTCTGACTTCAAACATGGGCAGGTACTGGTTTCAGACCCCTGAGGGGTGGGACACGGATGGTCGCTTTCGCTCATTAGCATACATGCGCCCGCTTGCCATATGGGCAATGCACTCTGCATTGAACAGGGGTAAAATTACTTTGTCACAGAAACGTGCTTGAATTCATGTTTTCCAACATTCTTGAAGGTTATGTTGGTAACAGGTACCCTATTTCAGAAAGAAAATCGCTAACAACGAGGTTGCAGGTGTGCTTGATGAAACGCCCCAGGCCCTTCGGTGCTGAAATTCCTGGTGGAAAGTGGTATACTTCGAAAACCGCTTCACACTGTGTGAAACCGGCCTGAACCAGAAATCATGAACTGTATACGTAAGGTCTGACCTCTGCTCACGTTGGCCTGCTACAAAATAGTTGACTTTCATATAGTGAAGTGAAACCAAATGAAAACAAAGGTATGAAGGGACAGTTGTATCTGGAGTTGTTCCAGACAGGACTGGTTTGCAGATGTTTGGGTGACGCCATCTGAAAATGTCAGAAACCAATAACTGTCCCAACCCAACACTCGTGTTTTCAATCTCCACGTCAACTTCGACGATTGGGATTGGAACAGAAGCTTCCACACGGAATTCATTAATTTCACGCGGAGAGCTGCGAACTGTGCTGGACGGATCCAAATGTGGCAGCAATGACTTTGAGCGGCAATGTGCCTCGCTTCGAGTGTGGTGGTGGCGGTGCCTGGGGCAGCAAAGGACACTGCTGCCGAAAGTCGAGAGCGATGTCATACGCTGTACACTTGGCACGCTCAGAGTGGTTGTTCTGGTTGCTTGCAGCATTGTACAGTCATGGCAAGATTCCAGGTCCGTGCAGGTTCCTGATCTTACTTGATTGCATTTCTGTATTTCTGCCTACAAGTTGACGAGGTGCCTGGTTTGTGTTTCTGGGATCGAATCGAGAGAGCCCCAATCCAAAGTTTCCAAGACTGTTACTGTTGCCCTTTCAGAACGACTCTAGAGGTGTACACGTAGCCGTACACGTTATTCATTTAGGCCCTTCTACCTAAAAAAAAAATGTTTGCCCCAAGATTGTCCCGCATGTTTTTTCGCAGTTTCCGCGATCTGACAACATGGTTCGAAAGATTCCACAATCGTTTTGTTTTGGCAAGACGGACCTACCTGAGGAAAAGCTCCAGTTTAACGTGACTGCCACCTGTCAGCTAGGGAGTGGAGAAAAGTGCACTTGATTTGGATCTTTCCATTCCAGCCAAGCAGTTGCACTTGGCGTAGAACAGCAACGAATGGGGAAGCGAGGAAAGCGACAGCACTTCGTCCGCACACTCGAGCTGCCGGTGCTGTCGTCGAGACTCGTGTGCTTTCTGCCCTGGTACTGTGTCCCTCCGCCACCCCTACGTCAACCAACCAAACCCCATTTCCATCCCGCTCTTCCCCTCTACCGCTCTGTTTCCATTTCTGTTCCAAACCATGGCCACTTCTCTTCAACCACCTCCCCAACCCAAGCCACCATTCCATCACTCTTCAGCCATTCCACACCCCACATTCCCCTGTGTTCTTCACTTTGAATCTCACATTTTTTGCCCGTCCGTGACCTACGCTCCAGAGACTCCATTAGAGCAGCAGGCGTCCTGTTCGGGTTAATTCGCTCGTCTCGCGGTTCCAGCTTCTAATTCTGCCGCCGCTTTAGTGGTGAATCTTAGACATCGATCGGCCCCTGGACTTTCTTCGCGAGAAGACATTAGATACAATCTGTTCGAGGTTACGAGAATGTCGTCGTCCGTAGCCGTCGATTTTATCCACGAGCCGCCTCGCTCGCAGTATTGGGAGCATCAGGAGCCGTCGAACACTTCCCACCACTACCAACACCCCCACCCCCGCCACCCCCACCACAACCATCACCGTGAACCCAGCGACAGTTCTGCTCCCGTATATTCCCTTAACGAGCCATCGAGTCACGGTATATCTTTGTCGCCGCGGTTCGCCGAGTCTCATTTTGCACACCATCGCCGAGTCGCGTCGCAGGAATCGTTCGCACAGTCGGGGTTCCGCAACTTGCAGCACAGCAGCTCGTGCGGGGCACGGCAGATGGCGGATTCCGCGTCTTCCTTCGATCTCCGCGAGCTGGAGAGCCAGTCGAGTTTGACTCTATCGCAGTGCGACGACGGCGACTCGAGCTCCACCACCACTAGCAGCAGCACCGTGTCGTGCCAAGGCGCGTTCGGCGTGTTCGCGCGTCGCAGACGGCGCCCGAGCAGCCGCAGGGAGACGCCTATTGCCAGCCCTCGCGCTGGCGCAGACCATTCAGTGATTGGTGGGTTTCCCGCGACTCGTAAAACGTCGCAAGTGGCACCCGCACCAGAGCTACCGCGTCTTCTTCACCATGAGATGCGCCGTGACATACGGAGGAGTGACGGAGAGGAGAGCGGCGACGACGGGGACGGCGGAGGGGGCGGCAGTAGGAGCGGTCGAAGCAGCGCGGCGGTTACGATCTTGAAGGATGCCGCGCAGACCGTTGCGCGGAAGGTGCGCGGCGCCGATGCCGCCGCGTGGGGGCAACTCGGAGCGCTGCAAGGGGGCGCCGTCCCCCGACCCATCGCCGGCGCCGCGCGTCGCCAGAAGCCGCCCCTCGCGCTGAAGCCGCGGCGATTTAACGAGCGCGACGGCTGCCCCTCCCCCGCGAGCAGCGGAGAGGTGGCGCTGATGCGGCCTCCGAAGTCCCCCGCGAGCAGCGGGGAGATTGCGCTCCTCGAGGCGGAGGAGATGTTGTTCGGCGCGAACCAATGGTCCCCCGCGAACAGCGGAGAGATGCCGCTCGTGGGATCAAGGGAGTTTGCGCCGCTTCCGGCGACCCCGGAACGGCGCAGGGGCGACTACGAGGAAGTGAGCGAGGGGTTGGTGGTGGAGGTCGCACCTGGGGGAGGCAGCATGCACCGCTCCACGTCGCCGTCGCTGTGGAACCAGCTGGGGTCGGTTTCGGAGAATCTGCTGCTCGCCGCGCGACAGAAGAAAGGCGCTGCCTCTCTCCCCGCAGTGGACGCGCCTTCCGCGCCGCTGCATCCCAGTAGCGCCCCCAAGGCCTCGCATACGCGCAAGGCGCAGCACCGCCACGGGCTGTCTCTCGGCGACGCGCCCTTCGCTGATGCGCCCGTCGGCATGGATGCGCCGCTGCCGCTGTCTGCTCTTCCGCCAGTCGTCGTTAGCGGGGCCAGCGCGCCCGCATCGAGCGTCAGCGCGGACAGCATCGCCGTTGGTAGCTTCGGCGCGAGTGGGAGCAACCGGAGCGGCCGTAGCGGCGGGAAGAAGAGCAGCAAGGGCCGGGTTGCGGTGCGGGCGAGCGCGTCGGCCGTGGAACTGGACCGTTGGAGCGTGCTGCCGTACGAAGGCGGGCGGGAAAAGCCGCGCGAGTCGCGAGAGTCGATGCGAGTCAAGCAGGCGCCGAGCAGCAAGGAGCACGGCGGAGTGACGGGCGGAGCGGCGGCAGTGCCGGGCGACTTCCTCTCGTCGTACTTCGGCGATGCGCCCGACGCGTACGTTGGCGAGTTCGCGCTGCAGGAGGCGCGCAACGCGGCGCGTAACGCGCACAAGAAGACAACGGCGCAAACCGAAAGCGTTGTCAGTGCGACCCCGCGCAAGCAGCTAACGGCGGACGCGGAGGTGCGTCAGATGCTGGCGGAGAGGCAAGCGGAAAGCGAGCGCGCGGAGGAGAGGAGGAGAGAGGAGCGGCAGCAATGGGCGGACGAGCAGCAGCGGCTGCAGCAGCAGCTGCAACTACTCCGGCAGCAGCAAAAGCTGCAGCTCCTACAAGCCTTCCACGAGACGAACCAGCAGCACCTGCGCCCGTGCGACTTCGTGCTCGGTCGCCCGTACTCGTCGCTGCTGCGGCGCTTTGTGCTCGCGCCGCAGGAGCTGGGCAGCGGGCAGTTCGGCGTGATCCGCAAGTGCGTGGAGCGCGGAACCAACCGCGTGCTGGCGTGCAAGACGATCCTCAAGAGCAACATCGTGGCCATGCAAGACGCCGCGGACATTCGCCATGAGGTGGCCGTGATGGAGGCGCTCAAGGGCCATCCGCATGTGGTGAAGATTGAGGATACGTGCGAGGACGAGGAGGCGGTGCATATCGTGATGGAGCTTTGCTCCGGAGGTGATTTGTTC